CTGAGAGGTGAAGTGAATAACATTGATTATCTCCTTAAATGGCACCTGAAAGTAGGGGGGATATATTAGGCACCAAGTGAACATTTTGTTCCTGAAGTTGATGCGTTGGAAGCAGAAAAAATGGCCATGCGTAAGGATTTGAGCCATTTTGACAAGGGCCAAATTGTGATGGCTAGATGACTAGGTCAGAGCAACTGAAAAACGGAAGCACCAGTGGGAAGAACATCCCACTGGTGCATGCACACCAGTGGGCTGTTCCCGATCTACAGTGGTCAGGACCTGCCAGAAGTGGTCCAAGGAATGAAAACTGGTGACAAGGGCATGGGTAGCCAAGGCTGGCCTGTATAGCCCGATTCCATAGAAGCGGTACTGTAGCTCAAAGTGCTGATAGAGTGAATGCTGGTTCCAATATAAAGTTGTCAACACACAATGCATCACAGTTTGCTGCGTATGGGTCTGCATTGCTGCAGACCAGTCAGCGTGCCCATGCTGACCAGTGTCCACCACTCAAAGTGCCTACAGTGGGCATGTGGCCATCAGACCTTGATCATGGAGCAATAGAAGAAGGTGGCCTGGTCTGATGAATCACATTTTCTCTTGCATCATGTGGATGGCCGTGTGCGTGTGTGCCAATTACCTGGGGAAGAGATGGCACCAGGATGCACTGTGGACAGAAGGCAAGCCGGCAGAGGCAGTGTGATGGTTTGGGTGATGTTCTGCTATGATACCTCGGGTCCTGCTATTCATGTGGGTGTTACTTTGACACATACCATCTACCAAAACATTGTTGCTGACAAAAAGTAAAAGAAAGCTACTCAATATTATAATAATGTTATGGCTGATTGGTGTATGATCAAGTATTTGATCAGCCTATCCTGCAGTCAGATGGTGGTATTTGGTGCAGACTTTTGGTTCCTATAGGATAGTCTTGTTTGCCAAAGCATATGTCGATGGCCACCTTAAAACCACAGTGCTGTTTATGTCACTTCATTGGTTTAGATGTGCCACTTAGGCAAAAACAAAAGATTATATTAACAAAAGAAAAGGTTATACTAAAAACATAAAGGTATGCTCCAAGCATTGTTATGAATATTACTTGGGATGTAATGTATACAGAGAGTGCAGACTACCTGTTCATTACTTCAGTTTTTCATTCAAGCATTGCTATAGTGCAGCTGTCCTCCCAATCTTCTGTTTTTCTGTAATTCGGTGATCCTGGAACATACCTGCTTGCTGCCTTTCTTACAGCAAGGCTAATGTACAAGAATGCTGGTTCTAAATATTTCTCACAGCCACCAATTGTATTTAAAACTGCCTTTGAAGTTTGGATGTGATTGGTGATGTAGAAAGCAGAGAGAAGATGTTACACAACACGTTTCAGGGCCTTCATTCTTGCTGACCCTGTGAGGTGTTCTGTGCATGTTGCGAATGCAATGGATTAATAAAAACTCAGAGAGATGTAAACAGGGACACATGGTTTATTTTAATAGAGCTGCTGTGCACTAGAATGCATTAGTCGTTCACTGATTGGTTTTACTTGTTGACCGGAATATTTCTCCTTTTACACAGTCATGTGTCAACTAACAAACATAGTAAATTAAAATAAAGTTAGACGTGGATACTCCCTATATATACACCATGTACACTCTTTAGACATTTTATTTTTTTAAATCAAAGCCTTACTCTAAACAACAACATTTCAGTTTTTGGTGTTAATTTCTGTCTGCGACCCCATTAGGGAGAAGTTTCCTCACTTCCTGTCTCTTTGGTGCTCAGCAAAGAAATAAGAGGGGAGTCAACTGGACAGGAAGGCACTGAAAGCATGACCTTATCAAATGTTTTAACGCTTCCTCGCTCTTTTGTCTATATACCCATTGAGGAGATTTCCTGACAAGAATTAAGGGGAACTGTCCCTAAGGAAGATATAGAAGCAATACAAACCCGAGAACATCTAACTTTTTTGGCTGGCATTAGGTTAAAAGAAAAATAATAGTGACATTTTCCTCAGTACTATGTACACGCAGAGTGTATGTAAAGTGACCGGGTATGTATTGCACTTTTAGATGGCAAGCATTTCATTGTTAGCAGTGCCATTTAACAGGCTGGCATTGAAAGCAGTCAGTAACTGCTTCTTGGTATTAACAGTACCCACAGAAACACAGGTCCAGCGGTTTGACAAAAGTGTTGGGACATTGGATCTCTTCTGGAATTACATCTCTCTCTTATGGCAAAATCTAACAGATGCATGCTTTTAACAGAGACCAGAACCAAGTGTTCTGGTGCAAATCCATCAGACAGCAATTTCCTGTAAACCCTTTAAAGGGCTATGCAGAAGCAAAAGCAGGTGTGGTCAAGGAATATGCTATAATATACTGTAGTAATATTTTGCAGCTTTACTGTAGGAAGATGGGGAAAAAAAACAGGCTTTAAATACAGGATAGTAAATTGGTGAGTATGTCTCACTGTTACTTATAGCTTAAAAGTAAATTCCAAGTAGATATAGATAGATAGATAGATAGTTTACAGCCTACTCTGTAGACAGTACATGTACCCCCTAAATTAAACGGTGAACCCCAGATATATTAGGGATGCATTCAAATTTCGGCTGCCAAAAAGGTACTATAGGCAAAATGCCGCTAGCACAAATATGACCGACAATTCGGTGGATTCCTAGCTTCTCTCCTGTCCACTGAGCACCGGTCTGTGTGCCCTCGGTTCCCCACTGCTCTCCCCAGCCTGTCTCGACCGAGGTGACATAGAGGATACAGCTGCCTGCGCCCAGTGGGCAGGATAGAAGCTTTTAGGAGGCTGAACGGGGCGGTGCGGGGAGGAAACAGCCCTCAGGATGCCGCAGGGCGGTGCGGGAGGAGAGAGATATCAGCTGTCACAAGAAACCAAGTTCTCCTCCCGCACCGCCCTGCTCAGCCTCTTGTGACAGGCGAGTCAGGATGGAGAGCTCAGTACTGATAGCTGAGTGTTTGTAAATAACCGAGGACATAGTTACAGGTTGAAAAAAAAGTCCAAGTTCAACCTATAGAGATAAGAGAAGAGAAAAAAAAATAAGAAAGAAGAAAAACCTAAAACAGAATGCTATACCTACAGTTACCCAGGCAAAAAAAAAACCCTATTAAGCAATTTGCTCCAACAGGGGAAAAATTATTCCTTCCTGATCCCATAAGGCAATCACATATTCCCTGGATCAACAATCTCTGGTGCTTTAATATACCTATAAGAACTCAATATCCAGTAATATTCTGTGTAGTTAGGAATATATCCAGATTATTTTTTAAACAGTTAACTGAGCTAGCTAGAACAACAACTGTGAAGAATACTCTCCGTATGCAAAGGTTAAACCTCTTTACTCCTGACTCAAAGAGTGCCCCCTTGTCCTTTTACAGTGACCTTAAAGTGAATAATTTGGCACCAAGCTCACTATATGGACCATTTATGTATTTATACATGGTGATCATGTCCCCCCTTAATCGCCTCTTCTCCAGAGAGAACAAATTCAGGTCAGCTAATCTTTCCTCATAGCTGAGCTCCTCCATGCCTCTTATGAGTTTGGTTGCCCTTCGCTGCACTTTCTCCAGTTCCACAACATCCTTTTTGTGAACTGGTGCCCAAAATTCCAGATGAGGTCTTACTAATGCTTTGTATGGGGGATCTCCAAAAACCCCCCCCCCCCCCCCCCCCTAGAGTTTATGACGCATGCATGTTTTTAGTCCCCACGTGCAGAACCCTACATTTATCAACATTAAACCTCATTTGCCAAATAGATGCCAATCGCTCAGTGTATTCAGATTTGCTTGTAAGTTGGAGACATCCTGTAAGGACTGTATTCCTCCCCCCCTAGAGTGTATGACGCATGCATGTTTTTAGTCCCCACGTGCAGAACCCTACATTTATCAACATTAAACCTCATTTGCCAAATAGATGCCAATCGCTCAGTGTATTCAGATTTGCTTGTAAGTTGGAGACATCCTGTAAGGACTGTATTCCACTACATAACTTGGTGTCATCTGCAAGCACAGAAATAGTACTTTTAATCCCCAATTCGATGTCATTTATAAATAGATTAAACAGTAAGGGGCCCAACACTGAACCTTGAATCGTTGATCACCACTCTCTGAATACGGTCTTTAAGCCAGTTTTCTATCCAATTACAGATTGAATGCTCTATACCTACTGACCTTAACTTATACATTAGCTACCTGTGGGGAACTGTGTCAAATGCTTTTGCAAAGTACAAAGTATATAGTATGCTTACTGTGTCCCCTGTTATGAATAAACAGGAAGTGCTCTACATCACTTCCTGTTAATTCATGATTGTGGACATAGTAACGGATACTATACCCACAGTTTATGAATGGACAGGAATACTCAGTATAGAGGCATCCTGTTCCTTCATATCAGGGGCTGCAGAAAAAGAGATTTAGGACTCAATCTCTTTTTCTATTTTAAAAGGGAAATATCGGGGGTCTGTTTAGAGATTTCTCCAGAGTTCAGTCTACAAAATGTCATTTTTCTGTGTGTGTGTGTGTGTGTGTGTGTGTGTGTGTGTGTGTGTGTGTGTGTGTGTGTGTGGACAGTGTATTTAGTTCACCCGGCGTTCATCTTTAAACGTAGAGGGTACATTAACTTTATGCAGTGTGGGCAGTAAACGTGCCCAAATGTTGAAGGGGTTAAGCGTTTTCTTGTGTTTCTCTGCAACAGATATGTTTTAGTTTAGCTATTTAACTGTGCCCATGTGGGGCTTAACACTTAATAAAATACAACAGCAGAAAGAGGCTTTTTTTTTTTTTTTTTTTTTTAACAAAACACATATGTTAAAATAAACCACTTTGTGAATTAATATAACTATCCGTCGATAAGGTCATAATAAAACAGATGTGGCGTCTGCTTGGCCCTCCCTTTTCCCAATTCACCCACCCGCACGTTTTAGTGTAAACCGCACATCCTGCAGTTTCCTGTCCTCAATTCTTGCATTCTTATTTGTTTAGGATATTATGACGGAAGTTCCTACCCTGCACCGAGTTTTTATAATCCAATACCGTGGAAACCAATCCCTGTACCTCCACCACCAAAGAAAACTGTCAAGAACCCGACTGGAAAGAAGAAGAAGAGAGCAGTTTCAAGCTTGTCATATAGGCCTACTACGGTAATGCCCTACAAGCCCAAGGACAATCTTCATGTTGGTGTAGGAATGATCAAGAGATAACTTCCGACAGATAGACAGCAGAAGAGTCGATGTGAAGATTAATTGTCTAGGGATGTACAAGGAACATAACATCACTGGAATATTTCACTAGGTGATCTGTGTGTGGAATTCTGTTTCTTTGCTCAAAAGAAAACAAATATAGTTTCTAAAGTCTCAGCCCACCCACAGTTCAGTTTTATCTGGACAGCTAAATTCCAGTTTTTTTATGACTCCTAGGGACTCCAGAGTGGAGATCTTTTTGCTTGAGTTTCCAGGTCTGCAGACCTGCTACAGCAATTAGGAAGGGATACATTCATCCTCAAAGTTTACAGCAGAAGCAATGAAGAGGTTTTTCTCAGCAGCTCATTCTGCTTCCTCTCCGCTCATTCTGGCTCAGCAGCCGAATCTCAAGTTAAACACATTGAACTGGAGCCTCTGGGAGGAAGGGCAAGGTGAGCTGCGCTGCTGAGAGATTGGTTTGAACAACCTTACTGTTTCTGCTGTGTACTTTGAAGATTAATTGCTCCTCAGTGTCTGCAGCTACGCACGTCAGTGAGGGCTTGTTGTAAAGTACATTTACACATAGCCACATGTTCACTTGAAAGGGAAACTATTGTGGTTTTGGAACAATGTTTTTTTTTGGATCAATTTATATTTCCTTTTTTGTAAGGTTTATATGTTTTTAAAATTATGTTTTATATTGTGTTTTTTAAACGACTTTTGTAAAATTTTTGTTTTAGAAATACATTTAATATAGAGCGCACACATGACGCATGATTCACAGAGCATTATGGGTTTTCTAAAAAGAGAATGCACAGCAGAAGTCGCTTCCTTTCAGACTATCTCTGTCTTATTGAAACTTTGGATAGAGTATGTACACAGCAGAAGTCAGTCGCTCCTCCAACTCATTCACTTGTATCTGTAAGATTAGGCCTTAGCTACTGAGCTCTATAAAAACATGTTTTTTTTAGCAATAGTAAATAAAAGAACCTAAATCTGAAGAGAGAATCTAAACCTTAGCCTATAAATCTGAAAAAAACCTAAAGCTTAGCCTATATTTCCATATTTGTGTCATATTTTAATGTGTTTTTCAGTCCTGGCCATAATAAACAGATAAAGAAAATGCATTAAAAAACGATTATACGTTCCCTTCAAATGAAACCTCTAGAGATAAATATATGGGCTGCCATTGTTGTCTTCTTTCTGAAGATGCTGGTTACCTAGCTGTTTTGGCTTTAGTGATCTCTTACTGCTTTTGTATTTTCTGGGTCAATAACTCAGACAGTATTCAAGCAGTAAGACCACCATGACAGCCAGGGAACTGGCTTTTTCAGGAGAGATGTGTAATGGCTACCTACATATTTCTGTCAACACCGGTATTTAATAGAGAAGCAGTGAGCTCTTAGGTGTGCAGTGACACAGCCATGAAGAATGCCGTTAACATTCTACTGTTGGAGTCCCCAAACAGCCCACCACACTGCCCACCTATAGCTGAGTTATCATTTTTTGGTGGGCTGTCTTTTTAATATCATCCCTCTACCTTTTGTGAAGTGCTTCATTAAAGCATATCTGAACCCACAAATGTATTTGTTTTGTAGTTTAGATGCACATTATAGTAGAACTATGGCCTTCCATTAAAAATATATGCTGCAGTGCATCATTGCAATTACAGTTTTCTTTTAGTCCCCCTACAAAGACCTCCAAATACCTGTTGTTCCTGGCAGTGAAGTCCATTTAATGCAGCTTCCTGTGTTGATGTGGCAACAACGCTGCACTGCTCTTAAATTCAGAGCAGAGTTGCCACTCTCATGTAGGCTGTGTCTGTTTACACTAAAGTGGGATGAGATGATATTGCAGGGGGCGTGGCTATCCGCATTGACACTGCTGATTCATAAGCTTGTAGCTTTACAATCAGCACTTGGCCACACCTTGTCCGGCCCACTGCTTTCTCGATTGACAGTGCTGCTGCTGAAACCTTCCCACTGAGCTACAGTGTTTGGGAGGGGGAGCATGTGAGGCACAAATGGAGGATTTGACTTCAGGGAAGGTAAAGGAAGGATGCTGTGGGAACACATCTGGACTCTCTTAACATTATCAGACCTTATAAACCTCCTGGTAAGTACAGTCTGCAGAGAAAAAAGAAATCTATCAATAGAAGTGCCAGTGTGTTGCACATACTCAGATTGCCCCGTGGCTTATGAATCAGGGTGAAAAAGGATACCTGGTTACTCTCTGACCCCCGTATGTACATATTCAGTGTAAAGAGCCGATAGTACAACTTGATAATATTATTATTATAATTTTATTATATTATTTATCCAATTTTTTTTTAAGCTACACATTTTATTTTACAGAGGAAAACTATACTTGCACCTTTTTTGTTTTTAAAACTATTTGAGTCTTCTTAGATACAAACTGTTGAGAAATGCAAAATCCATTGTTAACCCAAAAACCAAATTGCTGTTAATGAAAACATGGACTGTGCTTCTATTTTCTAGCCAGTACTAAAGAAAGAAATTGACAATGGAAATGTATGTTTAGCTGTTTGAACAGGACCTCGTTTTTTCCCCAGATTTGTTTTTTTATAACTTCACTTTGCAGGAGATTTTATATAGAAATGTGTAGAAAAAAATATTTTTGTAATTTCAAGTTAAACTGAAATGTTTTGGCATTGTTTTAAATGTGATATGTCTTTTTATATATTTTTAATAAAGTAAAAGAAATGAACAAACACGTTGAGTTTGTTTTTTATTCATATCCATGTAGTTCATGCCTTGGCGTGACAAGTCTGTATAACAATTAACATTCTATATCATTTGTTTAAAGAAAACTGCCCAGATTGGGTTGGCTAACATGACACATGTTTATCAGACTAGCACACAAAATACCTTTTAGAGAAGTTCTAAATTCACAGCATACCCTATCCTGTTATAAGATCATTGTAATAGGAATACATGCTAGAGTTGTTTTTGATAACGCAATCAAAGCTTACTTGAAAAAATCCCTTTTATGTAATGAGTGCTGCCTTCAGTCTGCCCATCACTTTCAGCACTTTCCTGGATTCCCAGTGTGCTTTGCGTCTTTCCCTGCTGCTTGATGTGATGCGATCTCAATTTCTCAAGTGCCAGGAAGACCGAAAAGTGTATAGTACTTGCCTGTCATTTTTCCTTTCCTGGCACAATCTATAGCAGCATACCACCACATGTAAGCTGCCACGTTGACGCAAGGAAAATGGAAAACTGTATCATACTTACCCATGATTTTCTTTTCCTTGTGCCAATCCATGGCAACAGAATGGAAGCACAAAGCTACCACATGTATGCTGCCACATTGGGGCAGGGAAAATGGAAAATTGTATCATACATACCCATAATTTTCTTTTTCCGGTGCCATTCCATGGCAGCATGCTACCACATGTATGCTGCCATGTTGGCGCTAGGAAAATAGGAAATTGCATCATACATACCCATAATTTTCTTCTTCCGGTGCCATTCCATGGCAGCATGCTACCACAAGTATGCTGCCATGTGGGCGCAAAAAAAATGCAAAATTGTATCATACTGGCCCATAATTTTCTTTTCCTGGTTCCAGTCCATGGCAGCAGACTGGAAGCACAAAGCTTCCACAAGTATGCTGCCATGTTGTCACCAGGAAAACAGAATATTGTATTGTACTTAGCTGTAATTTCTGTTTCCTCGTGCCATTGCATGACAGCATACAACCACATGTACCATATGTATGCTGCCTCATCGGCGCCAGGAAAATTGAAAATTTTATCACACCCATAATTTTCCTTTCCTGGTGCCAATCCAAGGCAGCTTACTACCACATGCATGCTGTCATGTTGGCTCCAAGAAAAATGTTTATGTAGCTGCTGGGAGAAGAGTGAAGGGGAATAATTTAGAGATTGACTTTAGTGACACCTCTAAGTCTGCCGGGGCTGCTGCCATCACATCCCAGATGGCGGCACCCAGCAGCAGCCCCGGGGCTTTTGAATCTCTACACAAGGGAAGTCTTTACAGTTAAACAACATGCCTTAAATGCACATATAATCTTATAGAAAATGTTTTGTTGAAATAAATGGTGTGGCAACAGGGTCTCTTCAAAGTACCGATGTCCACATACAGTTGTGTATTTTCTGGAGAAGACAACAGAGGGAATGATTTGTATTCCTCGGGCATCAGTCTGTAATTTGTATATGTAACAGGCACAAGTCAAATATTGAAATACCCTGGTAATGTGATTTTAACTAGCAACGACTTCCTGTTCCGAGAAGAAAAAACAACAACTTGGTATCATTCTAGATAATAAAGTAGACGAATGAAGACATGTGACTTAAGAATGAGTTTTTAAAGGCCATTTGTTAATGAACGTGTGAAAGGTTCCAGAAGCTGAACAGGAAAGAAAGCTGTAACAGTTCCTTCAAGCCCCGATAAGATTCTTTGTGCTCGCTAATCCCTTCTAATGAATATGCTATAATTTAAGGAAATGTCTCTTTTAAAAGCAAGGTATCAAATAACCAAATTAAAAGTGCTGAGGTAAGGTGGTTGATTGTGAAAAGACTTCGTCTGTGGAGGAATGCTTTTAATTTGTCATTGTGACAGATAGACCCTGAATACTGATCTGACAAATAGTCACTGATATTGTCACAGTGCACAAAGAGTCCTGTTTGGCCAGTGACAGACTGACAGTGTTTGCCCTTGGGCAATGTTTGCTGTAAATGTTGTCTTGCAATCCTTGAAATAATTGAGCTTTTTTCCTTTAGAGCACTGCATAATCTTTTTAATGTTTTTTTTTCAGATATGTATGTGAAAGACCAGAGCTAGATAAAATTATCTCTCTGTTGTGTGTTAAACCTTGCTTGTATGTATACTTTACCAACCTATATGGATATGGGAGCAGCCATATTTGCTCATTGCATTCTAAGTCTTTTCTGTCTGCTTTGAAGTGCTATACGATGGGTGTGCTTTACTGTTCCTTCTCATAAGTCTACGGGCTCTATTTCTAAACAAATTGCATGG